ATTTATTTATTCATACAGAACTGGAGTACAGGCCAGAGATGCGGAGGGTGAGAGGATTCACCAGAGACAGAGCGGGGAGCAGAACAAGTAGATCGACAAAGTACACAGCTGAGGGGAACAGCAGGCGGGCCAGGAGAGGTCTGCGTGCCATATGGATCTCCTCCGGGGCAGGCGGGATCGAATTCATGCGGAAGTGGCTTAAGCTTCTTAGTGTTGTGCTCTAACCTGCTGTACCACCAGGGAGGGCCCTCTGCCAGCTTTTAACTGGATCATTTATTTTACTCTTAAATTATTCATCAAGTAATGAACAAAGGTACTTTTAGCAAATTCAGGAATAAGTTTATAGTCCAGAAAGTTAATAAAACCTGGCAATTAAAAATTATTAACAGCCCTTCCTGGTGGTACAGCCGGTTAAAACACAGCACTAGGAAGCTAGCCTTAGCCACTGCTGCATGAATTTGATCCCCAGCAAGGGAGGTGACCCACATGGCTTGACAGACCTCCTGTCCTGCTCATTAACCCCTAAGCAGTATATTTCAGTCCGTCTACCTGTTCTGCTCCCCACTTTGTCTCTGGTGAATCTGCTCACGCACACATCTCATCCCTGCGCCTCTGGCCTGTACCCAGCTCTGTGTGCATAAATAAATAATCTTTTTTTTTTTTTAAAGATTTATTTGTGTATACAGAACTGGAATACAGGCCAGAGGTGCAGGGGCGGTGAGAGGCTTCACCAGAGACAGAGTGAGGAGCAGAAAAGGCAGATCGTCGAAGTACACTGCTGAGGGGAGCAGTGGGCGGGTCAGGAGAGGTCTGCTGCGCCCTATGGATCACCTCCGGGGCAGGCAGGGATTGAACTCATGCGGAAGTGGCTTTAGCTTCTTAGTGCAGTGCTTTAACCTGTTGTGCCACCAGGGAGGGCCCCATAAATAAATAAATCTTAAAAAAAAATTATTAGCAGTTAACTTTAGATACCAGATTATAAAACTAAAAGTGCAAATACATTGTTTATCAAATATTTAACGATAACTTGGAGTGATTTGCTCAAGAGTCTGTGAAGGAATAGGTACTGCAAAAGGATATCCTGTCCCAACTTTGTATGTGAGTATGTAGTGTTCTCATATGCTTGTACAAGTTCATGCTCTCTTTTTTCTTCTGAGGTCTGACTATTTTCTCTCCAAAACAAATAATAATTAAGGAAAAAAGCCAAATCTTATTCTAGTTCTCTGATTCTCTCACTTAAGAATGCTTTAGACCTGTTAGTGAAGAGGTGCAAATATTTCTGTTTTTATGGTAAATAAAATGGGTTCAGCAGGAATAACAAACTAGCTTTAAATTCCATAGCAAATACAAAGCAATATATATATATATATCTCCACATCTCACCATAGAAAACTAGCTATACACAGCAGAAGAGCTGCTTGTTATAGTTTAAATAGGAAGTTTATGGTGAGATTGGTATCTCATAGGGAAGGCAATCCGTCTGCCCAGATGCATCAACCACATTCCAGGTACTTATCTTCAAATTGATAATTTGAATGTTAGCATATCTTCCAGGAGTGATACAACTGTGGGTGTGTGTATATATGTGTACATTTATGTAGTAAGGACCAGTTCACTTGTTAAACTCATCAGTAAAGTATAAAATCCATGTCATTTTATTAATTTATTATGAAACATGCCATCCTGAGGAAGACCACATGAGAACCACACTGGTCAGTACAGTGTTCCCTGTTAATTACCTTTTATTTGAAGACAAATGTAGAAGCAGAATAGTCTGCAGTAGGTATATGAAAACAATAGGAATAGGCCCTCCCTGGTGGCGCAACGGGTTAAGGTACAGCACTGCAAGCTGGCCACAGCCACTTTAATGTGAGATCAATCCGCAGTCCCAGAGGTGATCCACATGGCGTGGCGACCTCTTCTCACCTACCTGCTGCTCCCCTCAGCAGTGTACTTTGTCAGTCTGCCTGTTCTGCTCCCCACTCTGTCTCTGGTGAATCCTCTCACTGCTCCTGTATACCTGGCCTGTACCCCAGTTCTATATGCATCAATAAATAAATATTTAAAAAAAAACAGGAATAGGTGATCATAGTAAAATGTTTTCTACTTAAAATGAGATTGAAGCATTTCTCACAGATATATTTGTGGTCTGAATATTTTTTTTACTTTGGTGTAGTTCTAGTGTCACACTAAAAATGTTTGCTTCCATGGCTCTTTTTCCTTCTGTTATTATTTACCTGCTCATTGACCCCTTCAGTTGGGTGAGTATCTAGTCTTTGTCAAGCCACTCCTTTATAAAGAGACCTTTCATTGTTTATGTATGTTAATGTTACATTATGAGAGGGAGGGAACGGGGCTGACAATCTCAAGGTGGCTCTGTTTATTGCCTACACATGTAATCCTTATACTTTTTAGGTACCGGGAAGCTAGTGTTGAAGTAATGAAGGTAATGTCTCATTTTGCTGTGATTGAACGTGGCAGTATTGATGAGGCTTATGTAGACCTGACCAGTGCTGTACGAGAGAGACTACAAAAGCTACAAGGTCAGCCGATCTCAGCAGACTTGTTGCCAACCACCTATATTGAAGGGTTGCCTCAAGGGTCTACAACAGCTCAAGGGACTATTCACAAAGGTACTTCCATAACATCATACTGCTTCTGCTTCCTGCCTTTGGAACCTGCTTTGCTTGATCATGCTGATCCTGCTTGGATTGATTGAGAGGAAACTTAAACTACAGCCACAGCCTCAGTGAATCACAAGGACTCACATGGAAGGATATACAAATTCTAACCTTTTCAGGTATATGAATATTGAGTAACTAGGACAGATTAGTGTTAGTAATATATAATAGATGGTAGGCTTTTGTCATTTGTGGATTAATTTATATTATTAAGCTATTAGTTTATTTTTTTCATCATAAGGGTAAGCTTTTTTAAGGGAGACCAAATTACAGGGAGTTGAGTCACAAAAATAGAACGAATTTATGGCACATTATCGTCATGGGCTTGTAAAGCTTCTCATTCTATTTTTATTTTTCTTCTTATACTCTCTGGTACCCAGTGAAGTATTGGTATATTACATATATGTGTGTGTCTCTTAGTTTGACCAAATACTGCTAATTGCTTCCCAGCTGTAACAGTTCCCCAGATTCCCAACGATAACCAGTATTGTCTGATGTTTGAAAATATTTGCCAATGTGATTGCCATAAAAATGGTATTTTGTGGTTTGGGTCTGTTTTAATTTACATTTCTCTGTTTAATGGTTGAGGCTGAGCAGCTCTTCATATACTTGTTAATTGCATTTCTGCTTTTGTAATCTTTTTTTATTACCTAACTTCCTATTGGATTTTCTGGGTTTTTTTGGTTGGTGGCTGAGGTAGGTTTGCAAGAGTTATTAAGCCCTAATAATTAGTCTCTTGTGCGTCTTTGGCATGCGTATTTTCTTTCCCAAGTCTGTTATACCTTAATTTTGTTTATGCTATCCTTTGACGGTAATTTTACTTTCCCCATTTAAAAAAAATAT